GCCAGACTTGCTTAACAACCGGGTTACCAATTGAACAACTGTGCCAATTCACTTTAATGACCGTGTCCATAAAATGGAGCAAATTGAACTTAATAACTGCACTGATTCACTCACCAGCAAGAAAGGTGGTGAAGTGCAGCCAAACTCACTTAACAAATGTTTCACTTAGCAACATATATGGTTGAACTCCATTTGGGTCATAACTCAAGGACTACCTGTACAAAAACCATTGGTTCCTTCTAGAAATTATGATTCCCCCCGATCTACGAAGGAAATTATAGCACTGCAGGGGAAGCAATTGGACACTATTTTTTCTCCCCGTCGTTCAACCAGCTGCCAAGTTTCCTACTTACCTTGAAGCATTCCGGCTGTGAAAACCACGAGAGAGTAAATGCTAATAATCCTCATTGCGCAGATGGACAAATTACAGTGCTTTGCCAATGAGAAGATCCACCATTCCACTTTGCAAACCTGTCACAGGTGACAGCAGGAACCTGTTTCCCAGGTTGTAGCCAGTTTGGTCGGTCTTCCGTGAGATCCCTTTTGTTTTTTTCGGTCTTGTGATCTTGCTCCCTCATGCCAGGTAACATGTGCCAGCAGGTAACTTGAGAATTAGCTACCAAGGAACAAAGCGAAGGGTATCGGGAGGAAACCAGCGGATGATACGGAGTTCAAGCTTAGCGCTCACGTTTCTCTGGTTCATAGAATTACATACGCGCTCTCACCTGTGGAAGACATACACAAAATTGCTACTCAAGTCATTCCACCTCCTTCTGACTTATTACTGGTTGACCTTCAACTGTGAATGTGCTTGCCTAGACTTTAGAATAGAATGGAGTAGAGCAGTATGAAGTAGAGTAGACCAGAGCAGAGCAGAGCAGAGCAGAACAGAACCATGATGGCGAACCTATGGCATGCATGCCACAGGTGGCATGCAAAGCCATTGGAGCCAGCACGCAAGCGGCAGGCAAACTTACCTCACTGCACATGTGCGCGCCTCACAGCTGATTTTCGGTCAGTTTGAGGCCGTTTTCGGCCTCCTAAAGGCTTGAAGAAGGCTTCTGTAGGCTTTGCAGGCCGAAAACTAGCCTTGTTTCGTCACTTCCAGTATTTTCAGAAAAACAGGAAGTGATGAAATGGAGCTAGATTTTGGCCTACAAAGCTTGTAGAAGCCTGCAGAAGCCTTCCTCAAGCCTTTGGGAGGCCGAGAAAGGCCTGAAACTGGTCGAAAATCAGCTGTGAGGTGCAGTGCAGGTAAGGGGGCGATGGGGGTGGGTGGGTGGGATTGTGCGCGCATATGTAGGGGCTGTGGGGGGGTCCATTGCCTTCTGGGTGCTGGCAATCAAGAGCAAGCATGCAAGCACACACACAATTTTTCATATAGGAGGCAAAAAAGTTAGCCACCACTGGAATAGAAAAATGATAATATAAGAGAAAATAATAGAAGAGAAGAATAGCATAGCATAGCATAGAAAATAGAATAGGGAAGAGAAGAATATAATAGAAAAGGATATGATAGGGAAGATTAGATTAGATTAGATTAGATTAGATTAGATTAGATTAGATTAGAATAGAATAGAATGGACAATATGGAACAGAACAGAATAGAATAGAATAGAATAGAATAGAATAGAATAGAATAGAATAGAATAGAATAGAATAGAATAGAATTCTTTATTGGCCAAGTGTGATTGGACACACAAGGAATTTGTCTTGGTGCAAATGCTCTTGGTGTACATAAAAAGGAAAAAGATACATTCATCAAGAATCATAAGGTACAACAATAATAGCTATAGGGTACAATAAGCAATCGAATCATACTAGGAGACAGTCAATAAAAATTGTAAGGATACAAGCGACAAAGTTACAGTCATTCAGTCACAAGTGGGAGGGGAGGGGTGATAAAGAGTGATGAGAAGATTAATAGTAATAGTAGTGCAGACTTTGTAAATAGTTGGACAGTGTTGAGGAAATTATTTGTTTAGCAGTGATGGCTTGCAGGAAAAAGCTGTCCTTGTGTCTAGTTGTTCTGAGTGTGTAGTGTGTAGCGCGTTTTGAGGGAAGGAGTTGAAACAGTTTATGTCCGGGATATGAGAGGTCTGTAGAATCAAAAAGAGGGCTGTGAAAATACAGTATTTACAGCCCTCTTTTTGACTCATGCAGGATACAGGTCCTACATTGAAGGCGGGTTTGTAGCCATTTTTTTGTGTGTGCAGTCCTAATTACCCTCTGAATTACCCTCTGTCTGTCTTGTTGGGTTGCAAAACCAAACCACAGTTATAGAGATGCAGATGACAGACTCCATCATTCCTCTGTAGAACCGGATCAGCAGCTCCTTTTGGGCAGTTTGAGCTTCCTGAGTTGACACAGACTTTGTTCAATTTATAGTAGAGTTTGTTGTGGGGTCCTTAGCGCCCTCTAAGCTTGGTGGCTTCCTTGCAGATATTTCGTTACTCAATTACATAACATCATCGGTGCTACCTAGCTCATACCTACTGGTACCTACATCTAGCGCTGATGATGTTCTCTAGCTGGGTTGTGAAATGTTTGTAAAAAAACAACCAAGCTCAGAGAGCACCAAGGACCCCATAACTTTTTTCTTCCTCCACTCTGTAGTGTCTCTGTAAAGAGGTCTGTAGGGGGCCCACGTCATAGTAGCTGTGTTTTTAAAGTTGTAGCAACGTTTCAGCAGAATCTCAACTGCCATCATCAGGCCTATACAGAAGCCTGATGATGGCAGATGAGATTCTGCTGAAACATCGCTACAACTTTAAAAGCACAGCTACTATGACGTGGGAAAATACCCGAGCAAAGCCGAATGCCATACATGTAAGTACCC